TTAAGAGTAAAATTATTTTTACTAAAGGCAACATAAGTCAACTCTCCCTTCCTCCACAGATGGTTTAAATCTTCTATTAGAGGTTCTAAGTACACATCAATACTATTACCATGATGTTGTGGACCAGGAATCCGCAAGGTAAGCATGATGTTCTCCTTCTTCATACATATGTGAGGAGGCAGATTATAATTAACTAACAGAACAGGCCAACAACTATACCTAATATTCTTCATGTTGAACGGATTAAATCTATCTGTGGAAAGTCCTAGTCGGATGTTCTTTCTTCAGCTGCAAAGGAAGGGTATTTGTCATCCATTTTTTTCTAAGTAACAGAATCTACAGGACGACGGAGTTTTCCATTGCTGCTCTTATTACTAAAAATGCCACCTTAAGTCCTTCGTCATTTCCACAGTCCTGAACATTCTCTAAAGCCGTGGGATTATCGGAAAGTACCTTAATACTTTCTGTGGGACACCTTTTTTTACTTCATCAGTGTGCATGTTAACCTTCCACCTTGAAGCATTGCATTTTGGACAATTATCAAGCTTCTTGTACTTCTTTCTGAATAGGCAGCAATCATTTACACACACATGGATCTTCTCATATCCCATATCAAAGCTCTTCAAAAACTTCTTCACATCATACAATGATGTGTGAAGCACATTCTCCTTGGGTAACTTGTTTGGCAATGTCTCAAGCAGTTCATTGAAGCTCTTGTCAGGCCAGTCGTTCTTTGTCTTAATTCTAAACAGCTCCACAATAGCCGATAGTTTGGTGTGGTTTGCACAACTTGGATACAATGGTGTCTCCGCATCTGCTAGCTTTAGAAGGAACAAATCTTCTCTTTTGTCTTCACCTTCTGCTATCTCAACTAAGTCACCCTCTACAATTTCACCTAAGTCACCTTTACTAGCTAACTCTTCATCTAAATATTCAGCAGCTTTATATAAGTCAAATATCTCCTCATTCCAGTGGTTTACTTTGCTTTCTACTTTAGCCTCAGAGTTCACTTCTCCATGATGATACCAATCACTTCGCTGCTTGTATGCCTCTTCCATTCCTCTTGTTACAAGATGATCAACCACATCACTGCCCGAGTGACGATCAACATTACGGCGGTCGATGTATGGACAAATTAGCATATCAATGTCTCCTAAAGCCTCAGTCACAGCTCGTACAAATTTCTGAGCAGCTCTCTCATAAGTAGGATCAACTCTTAAGAATAGAAGGGAGAAAAAAAAACTCTTAAAGTAATTTAAGAGTTATCCGACATTTAAACTCTTAAAGTATTTTAATTCCTTACCTACAGAGATGAATCCATGACTTGTCCAACATTATATGTTCTAAGCGTAATTAAGATCTTTAGAACAACAATTCAACCGTAAGATACCATCTCAAGTTCTAGATAAGACATTAACACAATCTGAAACTCAAACATCTAACTGTGGTCAAGATTATACATTAACACGCAGACAACAACACAAACTAACAACAACACAAACACATCATCTCTGACAATTATCATCTCAAGTTCAGACACTTAAAACAGTGCACTAAGTTTAACTCTTCACACACTTAAAACAGTACACTATGTTTAACTCAAACTCAAATATAACTCAAACACATAAGAAATTATAAATAACAATAACAAGAAAATTTGAAGAACAAAATAAAACAATCGTAAGAGAAAGAAAAACAACAAAATTAGTTTAGGACAAACCTGTGAGTGATTACAACAACAAGATAACAATATAATCAATTAAAACTATCAAAACCAAAACACCATTCTCGTTTCTTCATCAGGCAAAGCTCAAAACTAAAAAGCTAAAGCACTAGCACAGTTAACTAATTCTCAATCACAGACATGCAAAAGGATATCACTTATAAGAAAACAGATCGATTTATATAAACCCTAGATTTGAAACATGGCTTGGATTTGAGCTTAATCACGAATACTAGTACCCTAATTTCAGTTATATCCCAGTACATTAGGTTGAAAACAGATCAAAGCATATGAACCCTAGAATCGCAGAGAGCAATTAAAAAAAAACAGATCGATGCATATAATGAGAGAAATTGATAATTTCAAGTCGAAACAAGTTGAAATCACATTGAAATGAGAGTAAGAATGTAATTAGAGTAGGGAAGAAAGAGATGCCTTCGATTTGAGCTCACTGGCAGCGGCGCTGGAGAATGTGTCTGCGGAGGAACTTGGAATCGACTTTGGTTTATGGTCGGCGACAAGGTTAGGGGCTTGGAATCGACTTTGGTTTGCAATTTGGCTTGGAATCGACTTGGATTCGAGAGAACTTGTCACTACAAGAAAACCTGCAATTTGGGACTCTTTGTTGTGACTATTTTTATGGTCGCAAAAAATCGCGACTACTTTGTGTCTGTTTTGCGACTGTTAAACAACTACAAACAAAACAGATGGAAACTAGTCGCTTATTAGCGACGGAAATAAGTAGTCGGACAAATGTCTCAATTAAGCCACTACTATCCGACCGTTTACCAATTCAATATTTTAGGTCGCAAAACGGTCGCACTTTGAGACCACTTAGCGACTTGTTATCTATAGAACTCTTTTTTTTTACAATTTGACTAAAGGTCACAAAACGGTCGCAAAATTGCAACATATTTGCGACGAACAAAGATAATCGATCACATTTATCTGAGATTTAGCGACCACTTTGCTACATATTACCAACTCTCGATATTAAACATTCGAAATATCAGATTTGAGGTTTGTGACCATAATCCGACATATTGTGTGACCATTGTACGACTGATGTTGTGACCCTTTTGCGTCTAGCACCTGAGATTAGCGACTATTTTGCAACGTTTGCGATGTTTGTTATATTTTAAGAAATTTTGATAACTATTTTGTGACCCTTTTGCGTCTAGCACCTGAGATTAGCGACTATTTTGCTACAGATTACCAACGCTCAATATTTTCAATTCGAAATTTGTAAATTGAAGTTTGTTTACATGTTTTCTTATATGTTACTACTTTGATTTTATTGAAATTAGTAAAAAAAAACTCAACCAACCTCTTGAAATTCAATGTTTACAATCCAAACATTCAAAAGTTCTAAATCCATATGAACTCATCATGTTACTTTATGAACATGATATGGAATTTTGTAAAATTTATAAAATATGTTGAGAAAGCCAGGTTTGACCAACCTAACACTTGTACATGTATTCTATGCTACTAAAGTGAGTGTTTATGAGTGATTTCTATCAATAGAGTGAATCAAATTCATAGATTTTGAATTTTTTGTGTTGTGACTTTTATTGTCTGTCTCAACTTAGTCACAGTTTGCGACTAGTTTGTGACATTTTCGTGACTGTTCAAATATTGTGACTAAATTACGACATGTTTTGTGACTATTTGCCGACTAATATTGCTACGATTTTGCAACTTTTGCGATGTTTGTTATATTTTAAGAAATTTTGCTAACTATTTTGTGACCCTTTTGCGTCTAGCACCTGAGATTAGCGACTATTTTGCTACAGATTACCAACGCTCGATAATTTCAATTCGAAATTTGTAAATTGAAGTTTGTTTACATGTTTTCTTCTATGTTACTACTTTGATTTTATTGAACTTAGTAAAAAAAAACTCAACCAACCTCTTGAAATTCAATGTTTACAATCCAAACATTCAAAAGTTCTAAATCCATATGAACTCATCATGTTACTTTATGAACATGATATGGAATTTTGTAAAATTTATAAAATATGTTGAGAAAGCCAGGTTTGACCAACCTAACACTTGTACATGTATTCTATGCTACTAAAGTGAGTGTTTATGAGTGGTTTCTATCAATAGAGTGAATCAAATCTATAGATTTTGAATTTTTTGTGTTGTGACTTTTATTGTCTGTCTCAACTTAGTCACAGTTTGCGACTAGTTTGTGACATTTTCGTGACTGTTCAAATATTGTGACTAAATTACGACATGTTTTGTGACTATTTGCCGACTAATATTGCTACGATTTTGCAACTTTTGCGATGTTTGTTATATTTTAAGAAATTTTGCTAACTATTTTGTGACCCTTTTGCGTCTAGCACCTGAGATTAGCGACTATTTTGCTACAGATTACCAACGCTCGATAATTTCAATTCGAAATTTGTAAATTGAAGTTTGTTTACATGTTTTCTTCTATGTTACTACTTTGATTTTATTGAACTTAGTAAAAAAAAACTCAACCAACCTCTTGAAATTCAATGTTTACAATCCAAACATTCAAAAGTTCTAAATCCATATGAACTCATCATGTTACTTTATGAACATGATATGGAATTTTGTAAAATTTATAAAATATGTTGAGAAAGCCAGGTTTGACCAACCTAACACTTGTACATGTATTCTATGCTACTAAAGTGAGTGTTTATGAGTGATTTCTATCAATAGAGTGAATCAAATCCATAGATTTTGAATTTTTTGTGTTGTGACTTTTTATTGTCTGTCTCAACTTAGTCACAGTTTGCGACTAGTTTGTGACATTTTCGTGACTGTTCAAATATTGTGACTAAATTACGACATGTTTTGTGACTATTTGCCGACTAATATTGCAACTGTTTTGCAACTTTTGTTAAATCTTATGAAATTTTCCCTAAGTATTTGGGCGCTTAATTTTCCCCCCAAATAATTGATGTTGCGATTGTTTTGCGACTAAAGAGCGACTCCTTTTCGTTAATTACTAGGCAAAACACACTCGACTTTTCACTTTCTTCCTTCTCTCTCGATCTTCTTTCTCTCTCGATCTAGGGTTTCTTCACTCCAACTCTGCGATTCTTCTTCTTCTCTCTCGATCTAGGGTTTCAATCTCTCTCTCTCCCTGAATCGATTCCTTCTCTTCTTCTCTTTCGCTTCATTCTCATTCGAATCCCTAATCCGATTCTTTCTCTTTCAAATCCCTATTTCGTCTCTTTCTCTTTCGAATCCCTAATCCGGTTCTTTCTCTTTTGAATCCCTCTTTCGTTTCTTTCTAATGGCTCCTACCAAAGGCAAGTCAGCGAGAGGTCGCGGAGGCAAATCGACAAATAACCGTGGTGCCAGAGTCTACCATGGTCAGAATCCTAAACTCATCCCCAGTGGCGTCGGAACCTCTTCTCACTCGTCGAACCCAAGTTCGGCGACACAGTCGTAAGTCTCCTCC